TATAAAAATATGAGAGACTGTAAGGAAAAGCCAGACTATCCAGCCTCTCTTCATAGTTGAATCGCTCCATCCCAGACAACATCTTGGTGAATCTCCCTTGCACGCCCTCTCTAGTAAATCACATCCTTCCTATAGTGTGGCAACCAGAAATGCACACAGTATTCCAGCTGTAACCAATGTTATATACAGTTCCAACATAACCTTCCAGTTCTTGTATTCAAAGCTTCAACTCATGAAGGCAAGTATCCCATGTGCATTCTTATCCATCTATCCTGCTGCTTCAAGAATCTACTGACATGCTCATCACATTCCCTCCATTCCTCTGTACTTTCTTAGGTCTTACCATTCAATGCCTTCTCCCTGGGCCAGATAGTCCTCCCAAAATGCATCACCTCACACTTTTCAGGATTAAATTCCATTTGCCACAAAAAGTGTGAGGTGATGTATGTTGGGAGGACATTGATGTCACTGATGCAGTGTTCAGAATAGCCAATGTATTCTTCTCATTCCCCCTTGGCATGAGCAGGGTGAGGAGGTAGAGGAACAAGTGGAGGGGATTAAGGGGATAGAATTGCTGAGATGTGTCAGGAGCAGTGACACAGAGATGAAGACAGGACAATAATCAGTTGAGAGGCCTGAAACTTTCAGATGATTGCAGGATGTCTGAGGTGGGTGTAAGGTTTAATTGTGTTTGTGAAGTTGGCAGATAGCTCTCTGTCTATTGTATTCCACATTGGTAATGGATGTATTTGCTTTCATTGTTCATTAGTCTATGCAATTAAAACGTTCACTTCTTCTTTCAAATGTGGATTTGGTGCCCTTTGTAAGATAAAGTAGCTCCATAAATTTTATTCAAGACCAGCATTAGTGACTAAATAGTTAGGATACAATGAACATTTTTTACAATATTGCTGCCTCTGGATACTGTGCTAGAATGGTCTTTGCTAATGAGAATGCTATGAGAAATGAAGACTAGCAAGTTGTTATTTGTCCTGAGAATGTTCCTTCCTAGCACATCAACATTACTATACCTTTCGTGGACAAATATTTTCCTCCTTAAATGTGTGGAAGCATCACACATTCCCCTAACTCATCCATAAGATGAGTGGAAGGGGTAGAGAATTTGGACATTACAAGCCATAGCCTCTCCATGCACCTTAACCTTAGCATCAGTGTCACCAACATTGATCTGAAAACTTTGGCTTCAATCCCCAAGTTAGAGGCAGGTGATTTGCAGTTCTTTATTTATTTTAGTTATATACTTGACTGTACACATTGTAACTACAGAGGAGAGAGCTTGGGGTTATGTTTTATCAGGTAATGACTGAGCACTAACCAATCTGATAATGTTACACTGTCAAGGGTAGAGAACAGGAAGTTTAACATAAAGTCCTCGTCATTCTGGCTATTGATAGTCTTTGTAATCCTGCCTAATGAATTCATGTAATGTGTATTGATTGCTACATTCCTGCTCCTGGTACATGGTCAATCTGAGCTGTCATTCAAAGCACAGCCAAGGAGTGTGGATATATCAAGGCCCAATAACCGGAGCTCTGGCTGGGGGGGGCCGGGTCATTGTACTCAGGTTGGGAACTGGGGCTGGAGTCAGGAGCAGCACCAAGCACATGACATCTGTCCTTGGCCCCACTCCACAAAGCCACCATCTGTCTAATCTGCAATCTTTCCCTGAAATGAGTGTGTTGAGTGCCTTCCAGCCCCTTAGAGACAGCAGTCAACAGAATGAACAACAGATTTTTTTTGAGAATCCTTGAGTATCCCAGTTTGGGATGTAATTTGTCGCCCAGATCTGAGTTCTGTTCATTGCCAAACAGCATCTAACTGAGGGTAACATGTTCTTGATGGTGCCTCTTCACTTTGGGAGAGGAGTGTATCTGACCTGCTCCTTGTTTGGACAGTTGTACTCAACATAAATGGGGTTATTCCTGCTCCCTGTGCCAAGGACATTGTGGGTTTGGCTCTGCACATGCCAGGCACTGAGTTTGTTCTTTTTGTCTCACATGGATAATGAGGTCTTCAGGTTCACAGACTTGGTTGACCTTGGGAGTAGGCACAAGTACAAAGAGAATAATCTGTGGTATCGTCTGTAAGGAGCAATTGGGAGAATGTTCTGCGTCTTGGTTAGTGAGTGGCAGATGGACTCCTGGCCAGTAGAGCTCAGGTCCTTCCCCTGGAGCAGTAGCCATCTCCTCTACTGGGACAGTGTCTTAGCCCATCTGAGGAATCCTCGCCATGTGACTGGCAAGTGCTGGACACCAAAGTCAGCATTTACCTAGGGAGCAGAATGGGATTGCTCCAAGAGATGTCCCATAGAGGGTAGAGGTTTAGTTGTAAACTGCCTACTCTCCTGGATTTTGTCACAAAGGTACAGAAACTCTCAAACTTATTCTGGAACACCAAGTCACTGTTGAGGACCTGACTCTCCTATATAGGGAGAATGGTCAGGCATTGGGACACCAGAAACTTTCTGCCTTTGGACATAACAGCTTTATATTGAACCCCCTTCCTAGATCAGACTTCTTCTACCCAGTGTATATTCCAATCCATTTCGCAGATTGTTCTAGTTTTTTGTAACTTGTTACGGGAATTGCAAGTCTTATTCCAGGTCCTGATCTGGGTTGGGGACACGGTTGCCTCTTGTCAGAGCTCTCCACTGTATGTGCTGCTGTTACACATCCTTCACTTCCTTACCTTCAGCCAGCATTGCATCCTGCAGTTCAGTGTTGATAGGGGCCCCAATGGAAAACTCCATGCAGAAGTCATCCCTTACAATTTACATCCCCTTTATTTCTTTCACAGGATGTGGGTGTCACTGTCTGTGCCAGCATTTATTGCTCATCTCTAATTACCAAGACGGTAGTTGAGAGTCAACCACATTGTGACTGTGGGTCTGGAGTCACATGTAGGCCAGACGAGGTAACGTCCTTCTCTAAAGGACATTACTGAACCAGATGGGTTTTACCCAGGATTGGCAAGTTTCATGTTCATTCAACTCTTAACTCCGAATGCTTTTGTTGAACTCAAATTCCACCATGATTGGATTTGAATCCAGGTCCCCAGAATATTAACTAGGTCTTGGGATTAACAGTTAAACTACAATACCACGAGGCCATCATCTCTCATTACATTGTGTATAGCCCATCCTGAGTAATCGCAGGTTCAGTCAGCTCATGGACTGTCAGGCCACCTATAACCTGTGTGGAGGTAAGAGGTCTGTGGGCCGTGTTTACTTAGTTTGATTTAGGTTTCATTTTATAAAAGGGTCAGTGTTTAATATGTGGTTGCACTTCAGCCCCATGCTCTTGATCTTTGGTCACCTGAGGCAGAGCAGGGCACGCAAACTGGTACCACATTGTGAGTCTAGTCCCAGGATTGACCAAAGTTGTCATGAATTGGTCTAGACAGGGAGCCACAGGAGTCATTGTTAAACCCTAATGCCTCCCGCTCATCCTAGTTTACATCCGGGTGTCCTTGGAAAGACAGCTGGTGGTGTCTGCTGGTTTGCTTCAGACTGTTCATTCACCATCCTGCCTGGAGAGCAGAGCAAGCAGGCCGTAACCCAACGGTGGGACGGTGTGGAGTGAGAATGGGCCGTGTCCCACGGCGGGGCGGTGTGGAGCGAGTATGGGCCGT